CAATCATAAGTGTATATAAATAAAATTAATTGATTAATAATACGGTATATAATGATAATAAGGGATGCCTTTCATAGCCATTATTTCTATTCGCAGCCCTTATATCCCGGGGCCGCCAAACGGCAGACAGCGTGCAATATAATCGCAATACTTCCGGGTCAATACAGGGGTACCCCGGATGACGAGATCATATTAATAGGCGCTCATTACGACACCGTGAAAAAGTCACCGGGCATTGACGATAATGGTTCTGGATCAGCTGCTGTGCTCGAGATCGCTAGACTGCTCACCACTCATAGGTGTCGACTCAATAAGACCATTGTCTTCACGCTGTTTGACTTGGAGGAGGAAGTAAGCCATCAATCAATTGCTTATACCATTCATTGCCTTCAGTTTTGTTTTGTTACTTTTTCCGTCAAATCTTTTAATTAAAAATCTTTAACCCTTTTTGTGGCATTTGATTTGGGAATCGATTATTGAGTTTCTCGAGTTTGATATATTTTGCAAATTAATTGCTTTTAATTAATCGATTTAATGCCTTCTTTTCTGTCGCATCCCTTTCCCCTCCCCATCAGTACCTGAAAGGCAGCAAATATTTCGTTCAACAGTATCTCATTCCGACCGAAATGACCAAAAATAAAGTCAAATTCAGGGGCGCCTACATTATGGACATGTTGTTGTCGTATAATTACACTAATGGCAGTCAGTCTTTGAGAGACTTTTGGGTAAAGTATAGCAATTATTCTCAACACAACTCACACTTAACTTAACTTATAATAACCTACCCGTCCGGCCCACACAATTAGCCGACACTTCCTATGTTTGTGGAAGAGGTGAAAGAGGGCGGAGCGAAGGGTAACTTCTTGACCGCCTGGTCTCGACGTAACATCGATCAGGACCTGTACTTCTTCCTCGAGAAGAACTGGAAGAATCACAAATACCCGCTCAGACTACTCGACCCACCACTACCCACCTGGAGTCACGAGGTGGCCCGCAATTGGACCAGGTACTCAAAGTACGGCACGTTTGCCCGCAGTGACCATGCTAGTTTCTGGTATCCCATCGACAGGGATAAGACGTTTAACGCTGTCTTATTGAGTGATCTAGGTATGTGCAAACATTATTGTTTATTACAATTTAATATTAAACATAAGGAACTATTTAATAAATTATTACTAACGTTAGTATCGGTATATATTATTATAATAGTATGATCAGTATGAACTATCTAAATTTACTAGTTTGCTATAATAGAGTTATTATCCCTACTGTTATAATAATATTAAAATATGATTATTATATATAATTATATGATTATCATAATAATCATGATATTTATGAGAATTATTGTCAGCATAATAATTAGGAACCGATTACGAAAAGTGTGAGAATATTTGCGATGATTAATAAAAATATAATGAAATGGTGTGTCGGACAGGTCCCTGGCGTAAGGATATGGTGTTTCACTACCACCGGCCCAGCGATGACACGCGTTGGCTCCGGAAGGAGAACTTGGAGTTCATGAAGAATACTGTGGACAGTCTGGTGGCCACACTCATCGACTTAGGGGAGGGGAAGTGTTGGATGAAAAAGCATTGAATACGCCACTCCTTCTTGCGATACATTTTTTAGTCTTTTATTTTACATTAATTTCATTATATTTGAAGAATTATTTCTAATTATTAATTTTAATTTAATTTAACTAATTATTAGTTATAGTAATAATAATTATTAATTCATATTAAGAAGTGAAGGGCTTTCATATAACTATACGCTTAGCATTTGATACACATATCAAATACCTTTTTACGATATATTTATTATTTTTAATAATTTATTTATTGCTTAATTATTTATAGGAATATGACATAAATCAAATAACATACAAATATATTTATAATAGCATGATATAAAAATTAATATTTCTTGAGTGAGTGATTAATAATCATTATAGCATTATAAAAATCTATACATGTATAAATTGTAAGAATACTCAATAACATATTGAGATTCAATTGAATTTATAAGAATAAATTAAAATATTATTTTTACTAAACATGAAAATTGAATTTTTGTTTCAAAGTCAATGCAATATAAAAACTTATTATCATAAACATTACACCAAAAGTTTGAAATAACAAAATCATTTACATTGGTGGAAAATCTCGAATTAATGCACAAATAATTTGGGAATTTTTATATCATATATACAATAAAAACCAGAATCACATGAAGTCAGGGAGAGTTTAGTTGTCGATAATATTGGGATAAATGAAAGTCAAGTCTATTAGACATTAATAAGTAATGACTTATATATCAGCGATAACTGTATAGCAATCGCCCAGTAATGGCAAACTAGCTGTCCTTCAGCATCCATCTCATAAAAGACTGTTGTAAGTCATAACACATATTACACACCATAACCCTATCCCCGTATCCCTTT